GTACACCCCCCCTTGATTATGCTAATGTACGAATAAAAGGGAGGCACGGAGAGGCTTGAGGGTCTTTGCCTGCCATCTCACCTGAAGAAGCATGTTGCCCGTGTGTTTCCTGATCTAAAGCGAGGCCCGTTGGTTTAGGCCAACGTACATCACCACCGTCCTGCAGGGAGCGGGACCCCGGGATTTTGCGATCCCACAGGGCCAAACTCATAAAATATAATAGTGCCCATAATGTAGCTCTCAAAATTCCACTGATTGAGCTGATTCCAAAACTCCACTTATTTTTTCCTCCAAAACAAATGGCACATTCCTTAGTATAGAGTAGACCATGGATTCCCTGATCAGAATATATTTATACTCTTCAACTACAAATAAGAAATAACTACTATATAACAGAGTGAAATGAAATACCCAGTTGGAAATATGTACAACTTTATGGAAGTAAAACTCAGCAAATGAAGATCGCAAGGAGGAAGAGGAAGCAACAGCTTACCAAAAAAAAAAAAAAAGGTGGTGGTGGGGCACTCCTATTCCCTACAATTGAACAAAATATAGCTTCTGGGGTTGACATATAGTAATTAACCTAAATGTTTAAATAGAAAAGCAACTTTCCTCATTTAGCAACCACCCCTTAAATTGGAAACAAAATGATCACTAAGAGAACATATGACAGAGAGAAATGGAAAAGACACTGTAAAGATCCCTGGTTGCTGCCGTCTTTTTCAGAGAAAGTTCTCTCATACAGTGACTTGTAGCTGACCCGGTTTTTTACTCATTTTCCTTTTCTTTTCCCTCCACGCAGGGCAGAGGTTGTTTTTCTCCAAAGCCTTCTCCAGAATGTGCTAATCACAAATTAACAAGCCCAGGTCTTAATTAAGTTGATTGGAACCCTCCTGTCAGATGACTCTGTGGCTGAATCTGACCAGATCAGTTTCACAGCTTTGGTTGCCAGGCATAGGAAATTTGGTGACAAATGCATGATTGGCTAGAAAAAAATATTATTTTTAATTAATAAGGAGATAGATTTGCTTATATTGTTGACAACCAACTAAATAAATGAATGCTTAAAGTAATATTTCCAATCAGGTGAAGCTATCATTCTTACGTTGTTAAGTTTTACGATATACTTCTTCACCAGCTCCTTCAGTTCTGGAATCAGAGTTTCTGCTCCAAGCAGCACATGCTCCACAAAGAGGGACACTGAGAACACCCTATTCCATTGGCTCCTATTGAAAAAAAAGCCTAATTTATTAAAAAGAAAAAAGCATACTATCAAAAAACTAAACTGAAAAACAAATGGACTCTAACTATATAATAAAGAGATCAGTACTGCCTTTTATGGAAGCAAATAAACCTATGAATTCACTTGCAAGCCCGACTGCAAGTAGAAACAAAGGGTTATTTTGGGAATTAACAATTGACGCAGGCCATCTTGAAAACTGGGGTTAAGATGTGATCAAGTGCAGCAGGGCAGAGGAACAAATGCATCTGCTCTTGCCAAAAGAGCTTGAAGTACACATTAGTCCTCTTGAACCAATCTAGCTTCAAAAAAATCACGATTGTCAAACATAGCATTCCACGCTTGCCACATTGCAGGTTCAGATCCAACCTAGGTTAGGATTGAGACAACAGGAACAAAAGATGTTTAGAAAGCATGCGATTATCATAGGAAGTCAACTTATAAAGTTGGCCGGAAAAAAGTCAGCAACTTATCAACAATAGAAAAAAGCAACCGTGAAATGATCTTACCACCATCAAAAGTAGACCCAAAACAACATTTTCTACCACCCTGAAATTTTACTTACTTGACCTCTTGAAGCATTTGGCTGCATTGGCTTCCACTGCCTTGGCTGCAATTTGCTGCACATACAAGTTCAATGGGCATTTGAAGGTCCTTCACCTTCTGCAGCCATGCACGAGTTTTCCATGTCAGGACTGCCGAGGATAACATTTCAGTACAGGCCAGCGCAGCAAACACATCTAGCACCTATGGCAAACAGGCATAAAGAAGCCTCTTACAACACACGTGTAATGTAAGAACATACACTTCGTCCTACCGTTAGGACCGAGAATTACATTAAGATGATCGAATCTAAGCATCCTTTGGTAAAGCAGACCAACTTGGATTTTGATGCTCTCACTGCCTCATTGTGTTTATGGTTTTGTACTTTGCTAAATACTTTGCTAAATAATCTGACAAATATGGTGGTATAAAAATCAAATACATAAATAGTTCCCTAAATAAATACAAGGAGTTCTCATTTACCAACTGCCTTGTTTAGCAACCATTCAGTTATGACCGTTACAAAAAAGTAATTTTATGATCAATCCTTGCCATTCACAATCTTTGCAGGTCTGTAAAGCAAAGGAAAGCTGGAGTTAAGATCATAATCACAGTCACGATTTAATGACAGTTTTACTAGCACTTTGCTTAATAACTAAGTTGGCAGTCCCAATATCAGTCACTAAATGAGGACTACCTGTAGTTCCCTTCTGTAATACCATTACTGATTTTAGGTGGCTTTCTTCCCATCTATCCCATCAGTTTTATTGGCCCGTTTTACTTCCCCTTGATTTCTGTTTGATTTTTTGATTTTGACTTACATTTCTACTGATTTTTTCTTTTCATTTCAACTTTACACTTCTTGTTTTCAGCCTGCTTTATTAAAGCTTTCATTGTAATTTTATTACAATATACTGAGATCAGTTACCTATATCTTATTTAAATTTCAATTTTATTTATGGGAGAGTAAGTATTATATATGAACACCTATAAAATCAATTCTATTATTTGACCCCGTTTAGGAGATTCTCCCATGTATTCCCATTACAAAGCAAATACAATCATTAGGAGTACAGCCCATAAAAGCATTTTTGAAGACCTGCCTGGAGCTTCTTTTTTGCAGACAGATTCATTTCTCCTGATTAAGAACACAGAGAGAATACCACTTCCCCCACCCCACCCCAGGTGTCATGTTTTCCTATTAAGATTAAATGTTATAGCCCACCCACCATTTGGCTGTGCAATGTGCAGCTTCTGTTCTTTTCTCTTTGTTCAAGGGTATGAAGCACTTCAGGGTAAACAGCAAGAATCCGGGAAAAGTTCTGCAGACGACTCCTAAACTGATGATAACCAAGGTGGACCCAAGGAAGGGAGGGCACTCTTGTTCCTGCACCAGAAGAGGCGGCCTTCATTTCTTCCACACATGACAAGAGGGCCGCTTGCAACATCTGAAAATATACAGCAGCATATTTGAAGGTGATTCTCCTCACAATCACCTGATGAATCATAAGGATTTCAATAGTCTTTCCAATACATGGGACACATTTATCTGCATGTCATATAGTGGTAATTAAGTGCCAAGTCTACTCAGTAACCAGCACCTATTACAGCACGCAGCTGTTGGGCATTATGAAGCAAGCTTTTGACTCCAATATCTAGCCATCTAGGATTGAAATACGCACATTTAGTTCCCTCTCTGAAGTCACACCCATTGCCAGGAGAATAAAGTCTCTGACATAGCAGTGAAAAAAGATGGCCTTCTCTTCCTCCGAGTAGCAAGCAATGTGTTGCCCCAGGGGTGTCTGCTGAAAGATGTCTAGAAACTTCTCTGCATGGGCTGGAAAACAAAATGGGATTTAAATTGTTTTGCATCTCCCCCGGAAATAAAGTCAACCAGTCCTCTTTAAAGCATAAAACAAATTTAGTATGAAAAATACCATTTTCTTGATTTTGTTTTTTACTTAATTTATCAAATTTTTATTCTGCCCATTGATCGGTTTACAAATTATAGGCGCTAATTTGAGCCAAATTTTCCCAGGTTTTTCAAACAAAGGGACCTCTTTTTACCTTCCCCTGGGTATTCTCACCTTCATTATTAGTAATATGTTGTGCATGAACCCGAAGATCTTCCAAATAATCCTTTATCTTCCAGCTGAAAGGCATCTTATTGCCAGCCCCTATAGACACTTCCATGTAATTCTGCACCTGGATTGGTTTTGTTTGAGAGCTAAAGAAGATAAAGAAAGTTTAAAATGAACAGATGCTTTTTCAATACATTTTGAATGGATTAATGTAAAAAATAATCAAGCAAGGTATAATGAGATATAGTTTGATTTAAGTACACATAAAAATGTGATCAGTTTAAAGACAGACACTGAATGGATTGATGATTATATGGTGGATGTATTTAATACACACCTTTTTATATATGGAATAACAGAAACACCATCACATAAAATAAATCTGTTTCAATTTGTTATGTTTACTTTACCTCGCTCCTTTATCAAAATGTTGGCAATTGGAGAGATTTTTTAGCTAACAGAGGTGCTAGCTGTTGAGCCAATCTTTTTAATAAGCCATTTTCACTGAAAAATGAAAAGCTAAACCAGAATTGCACATTACTGATATAGATATATACCACGTTATTCCTTCAAATTCCATTTACTTCTCTCTCTGATCAACAAATCTGTTTCTTAACCTTGTCCCCATCTTCTTCCCATAGCTTACCTGCTCTGACCCATGACATAAGGGATGTCTAGAAGTTTTAGTTCATTGAAGATGAATAACCACAAGGCTTTCACACAATTTTTTGTTGGTTCAACCAGCAAATCCAGATTATAATCTCTGTCCAAAATAGATATCACGTAGGCCAGAAATGGGGTCACCATACTCTGGATCCGTTTCCACAGCGTGCGTCTATATAAATCAAGAGAGTAAAAGCACATTCTAAAGAAACCAAATGTTTTTTTTTTGTTTCAGCTGATTTGTTTAACTTCCTAGTATATTAAAGATACCTTAGAGAAAATTTTAAAACCCCAGATGCATATTTTATTACTGAAAAAAGATTAAAACTTCAATAAGGGACAAATTGCAATTCAACTAAATCTCCCAGAAGCTGCCATATTTGCAGCCAAGGCAGTTTTTCAACCTGAGCAACCAGTTAAAAAAAAACAACAGATGGCTCCAGAGAGTACTTGATTAGTACCTGAATGTAATACCTAATCTATACATTATACCTAAACATTCCTCCTTCCTGGAGGGCAGTAAGGTTGGACTAAAAATAAATAAAGAAAAAACTAAAGTAATAGTAAAGAACCTCACAGATAAACAAAAAAGGCAAATACTAGAGAAAACAGAGGTACAAATAGTGAAAAAAGTTCAATATTTAGGTATTCATCTTTCGGCTAAGTGTTCGTCAATAAAAGAAGACAATTATACAAAATTATTGAAGCAAATAAAGCTAGACTTGGAAAGATGGGAAAATTTTCAGCTGTCAATATTAGGAAGAATTGCTACAGTAAAAATGAATGTGTTGCCGAAGATTTTATTTCTATTTTAAACAATTCCGATAAAACTTGAGAGAAAATTCTTTCAAGATTTAAATACATTAATTTTGAACTTTATTTGGCAGGGGGAAAAAGCTAGAATTAAGATGAAAACATTACAAGATGCTAAGGAAAATGGAGGTTTTGGGTTGCCGGAATGGACGTTGTATTATCAAGCATCTGTGTTAACATGGGTGAAAGAGTGGGTAACACTTAGAAATAAAAGGTTGTTGAATCTAGAGGGACATGATTTACAATTGGGGTGGCACGCTTTCTTATGGTACAGGAAAAACAGAGTCCATAAGTACTTTCAAAATCATTTTATAAGAAATGCCTTGTCAACAGTATGGGAAAAAATTAAAGCTAAAATATATTTAAAAATTCCAGGGTGGTTATCAACGATGGAGGCATTTATACATCCGAACTTGGTAGACTTTGAAAAAATATGAACATATAAAGATATTCTAAATATTGATGGGAAATTAAAATCTAAACAAGAACTGGAAAATCAGAGAATTAACTTGTCCTGGTGAGCACATTTACAGATACAAAGTAGATATGAAAAAGATGTAAAAATGTATGGATTTTATAAGGATCAAACTGTGTTTGATAAGATTTTGTTAACCTCAGATGAGAAATTAATTAAGAAAATGTATAACTTTTTGTTAATTTTGGATGTGGAAAGTGAACAAGTGAAAGAAACAATGACAAGATGGGCGAAAAATTTTGGCTATAATATAGAATTAGAAAAATGGCAAATGTTATGGGAGAGAAACTACAAATTAACAATGTCAACTTCATACAAAGAAAATCTGTATAAAATGTTTTATAGATGGCACCTGCCACCAGCAAGACTAGCAAAAATGTTTAAAAATATGTCAGATAGATGTTGGAAATGTAAACAAAACATAGGCACGTACTATTACATTTGGTGGACATGTGGTAAGGCAAAGGCCTATTGAAGAAAGATACATATGTGGTTAGAAAAAATATTGGGTGAACAAGTGGATTTTAAACCTGAACTTTTTTTACTAGGTATTATGCCTGAAAAGACTAATAAGCAGAAATTATATTTAATCTTACACATCACTACAGCAGCGAGAATAATTTTTGCACGATACTGGAAGAATGAAGGATTGCCATCAGAAGAAGAAATAATCAGGAAAATATTGGAATGTGCAGAGATGGACAGATTAACTATGAGGTTGAAAGATAAAGAAGATACAGACTATTATCAAATTTGGGACTTATTTTATTGTTGGCTAGAGGAAAGAATGAAGGATTAGGAATTGAACATGTATTAGCATAGCAAACTCCAGACAACTTGTTGATTGGAAAAATTAACATATGTTGATGAAGAAAAAAACCCAATAAAATCTTTATATAAAAAAAGGTTGGTGTTTCATCTGGAATCAGTAAATACAATACAAGGCATCACTGTGCAGAAGCCATGTTGTTACAGAGAGAGGGAATACAAAAACAGGAATCACAGGAACAATGAGAGGAATCACAGAGTAATAATAATAATAGTAAAATTGGAAGGGACCTTGGAGGTCATCTAGTCCAACCCCCTGCTCAGGCAGGAAACCCTATACCATTTCGGACAAATGGCTGTCCAGTCTCTTCTTAAAAACCTCCAGTGTTGGAGCATTCAACACTTCTGGAGGCAGGTTGTTCCACTGGTTAATTGTTCTCACTGTCAGGAGGTTTCTCCTTAGTTCTAGGTTGCTTCTCTCCTTGCTTAGTTTCCACCCGTTGCTTCTTGTCCTGCCTTCAGGCACCTTGAAAAATAGCTTGACTCCCTCTTCTTTGTGGCAGCCCCTGAGATATTGGAACACTGCTATCATGTCCCCCCTCGTCCTTCTCTTCATTAAACTAGACATACCCAATTCCAGCAGCCGTTTCTTATACGCTTTAGCCTCCAGTCCCCTAATCATCTTTGTTGCTCTTCTCTGTACTCTTTCTAGAGTCTCAACATCTTTTTTACATCGAGGTGACCAAAACTGGATGCAGTATTCCAAGTGTGGTCTTACTTGGAATACTGCATCCAGTTTTACGCATTGTAAAGTGGTATTAACACTTCATGTGATCTTGATTCTATCCCTCTGTTAATGCAGCCTAGCACTGTGTTGGCTTTTTTGGCAGCTGCTGCACACTGCTGGCTCATATTTAAGTGATTGTCCACTAGGACTCCGAGGTCCCTCTCACAGTTACTACTATTGAGCAAGGTACCCCCTATACTATATCTGTGCATTTGGTTTTTCTTGCCTAAAAGTAGAACCTTGCTTTTTTCACCATTGAATTTCATTTTGTTAGATAGCGCCTAGTGTTCAAGTCTGTCCAGGTCCTCCTGTCTTCTGGAGTGTTGGCTATTCCTGCCAGCTTGGTGTCGTCTGCAAATTTGATATCTATCCCCTCGTCCAAATCGTTGATAAAGGTGTTGAAGAGCACTGGGCCCAGAACAGAGCCCTGGGGCACCCCACTACACACTTCCCTCCATGTAGATGCAGTTCCATTGAGGACCACACGCTGAGTACGGCCGGTCAGCCAGCTACGGATCCATCTGGTGGTGGTGCTGTCTACCCCACATTTTTCTTACACAGGAAACAAATACAATAGAGATGAATGATAGAGCTGCATATAAGGTAAACATAACACCCATAGCAAATACCGAATCTATACATTATACCTGAACGTTCCTCCTTCCTGGAGGGCAGTAAGGTTGGAGGCCTCCCGGAGCACCCACTCCTTCACGTGGAAAAAATTCTCTTCCTGTTTCTTCAAAAGGCAAGTAAGACGGCTCTTTGTAATCTTCAGGAAGTTGCCTGAAAAAACAACAACAGGACAGCCTAATTTTTATTTTTATAAAAATTTTATAGCCACTTTTTAGGAATATATTTCAAAAAACATGAAAGAAACAACTGATGGGTAATTCAGATTTTGAATCAAAATTAACGCTTCCTGGTCTTTTGCTTGATGATCCTACATAGAATCATAGATTTGCTTCCATAAGAAGAGCTACATGACTTACAAACTTGGGCATTACCCTCAATAATTTGAGATTATTTAAGAATTATTTGCAGTCTACACACCCATTGTGAGAAATATCAGTTTATTCCTTTTCTGTTTTCTATTCTTTAACTACTTAGTGATGCCACTTATTTCACCACTATTAATGGTATGCTATAAAGGTAGGCTATGAATAAAGGTATGCTATAAATAAATACCAGGCATGGGGAAGAAGAGTCATTATGCAGCTGTGAATAAGACTGAAACGCTCCTCCTTTTATAGGATTCCTCTATTCTATAGGATTCCTATACATTCGCTTTCTCTCACCCTAGACTGGGGAATAAAATGATTGATCTACCAATTCACATTCAATAAGGGTGTAGATTATGGTCCATAATTTTCAATGAAGAAGCATCATCCTATAGTGGATTGATTCAGGCTAACAACAATCTGCTTCATCAACACATACACAAACACACAAACACACTTGCTTGACACTTCCAAAGAACTCTAGGAGGAAGGCAAGCTCTCATCTTTTGATTTTCTATGGGGTCTAGTCAAACACAGTCACAGACAGAGCAAATACATTCTAAGAATTATAAAACAGAAACTGATCCTTTATTTTACCCTTTATTGTAC